GCTGTATCCGCTGTCGAAACTCTTGCCCTCGTTGTTGCAGCTGCTGTGGGTCTTTGTTGTTTTTCACTAGGCCGTTGATCGCGATCACCTGCGTGTGCGTGATGGCCCACCACTCTGCCTCAGAATTGTACAGATGCGGTCTGCCTGGCGCTGCTGTGCTCTTTTTCCACTTGATGCCGAAACCCTGCGCCCTTCCTCTATAGCCGTCTCGTTGGTGTTGGGGTACCTCTGAGTGTTGCAAAACTGCCTCCTCCACGGCCTCGATCCACCTGCCGTAGCTGTTCGCCAACCTCTGTGCCAGCAGTGGCCGATCACGATAGGCCTGAGGCCGCCAACGGTCCCCTCTGAGTTGAATATCTGGTGGGGTGCCAGAGAATCCCCATTTGGCATCTTCCCACGTAGCGCAACTGATGTGGAAGTCGATGGACGGTGAGTCCGCGCTCGGAGTCTGTGTTGTCGGGGATGTGTTCGTAGTCGTTGTGCCTGGATCCTGCTCGAGGAGGTCGAAACCGTGCCGAAGTACAGGTTCCAGCTCTTCGCGTCTCTGTTGGCGTCGTGCCTGCTGCTTACTCCGTTTGCTGTCCAGGTCCTTCTGCTTCTTCGGCCTCGGCACCGTGGGCAACGCTTTGGGAATGTCCAGCGTGCGGTGCCACCGTCGCTGCTTCTTGCCTGCCAGCCTGATGCGAAGCCCACAATGCGTCGCCCATGGTACCGTCAGATCTCGTGCAATGGTAAGCCCTTCCTTGCAGCCCGCGGCGACGACGCCGTAGTCGTAGAGGGAGCCCTTGCCTTTGTCGCATGTGACCTCCTCTGGGCCCGTGACGATCTCGCCTCGCATCTGTTCCAACCAACCAGATGCGAGCAGCCCAGTAGGGACGCAGTTCCAATCCGCCACGACGAGCCATGGGTCCTTCAGCAAGCGCACGAAGGCCGTGAGGGCTGCCATGACCTTTCGGTTCCTGCCCGTGAAACGCAGGGTCGGTAGTAGGTACGCCGCGATGATGATGAAATTGCCGATGCTGAGGTGCAGCACCATGGGGGAGAAACCGACGAAGGCCGAGTCCCCTTGCTTGTCGTGCTTGCCCTTCCAGTGCTCCAAGGACGTGGACTGTATGTGTGTGCGCGTGGCGACGAGTTCACCCGCAGACCATCCTTTCTTCGACTTGCCACTGGGGACCGCGGGGGTAATTGTCGCCTTCCATCCTTCTTTCTGCAGGAACGTCTTAATGGCTGAGACTTGGTTTGGCCCCTTGTGCGTTTCCACAAACGCCAGGCAATCGAACTGCTGCGCTGCTGGGCCTTGCACGTAGTTCTGCACCTGTGGGCCCCACTCCGTGATGTTGCCGAACAGGACCTGGAAATCCTCGCTCTGCTGCTGGGTGGACTGCGCCTCGCTAAAGCCCAGACTGCTCAGCACCATCAGCCAGACCGTCAGCTTGCACATGAGCTTCGCGAGCCTTGCGCCTCTCAGCCCGAGCCTGCTCCAAGGCTGCTTGATTGGCGTCCCTGATCTTCTTCTTCTCGTCCTCGGGGTTGATGGCTGTCGCACCTGTGCCGTTGCTTGCGGTCGCTGGCGTTGCTGTGGTGGGTGCCTCAGGCGCAGGGGGTTCCTCTTCCACTGCCTCTGCCTTGGGTCCTTCTGTTCCTGCTTCGACCTTACGCTTCTTTTTGGGGGCCTGCATGGCCTTCTTTGCCTTCTGGTGGATCTCCTCGATGTACTTGAACTTCGCCTGCAGGGTGCCCAGCTGCTCCTTCTGGAACTGCTCCAGCTCGCTCTTCCACTGCATGATGCTGTCCATCTCCTCGGCCGGTATGTCGCACTCCTCGAGGCCCTCGAAGAGTGAGCCGTCGTACTCGAACTTGACGTTGAGGGTCTTCTCATCGGGTTTGACCACGATGATGCCCGACTCCTGGTTGGCCTGCTGGAGTGCTGTGAGATGCCGCTGCTGCACCTCGACCCTCTGCTGGGCCAACTTGTCCATCTTCTCGAGCTGGTCGTCCAAGTACAGCTGCGCGCCCGTGAGCTTCGTCCGCTGCTTCTCAATGCGATTGTCCAGCTCCTTGAGCGCACGATTGGCGTCGGCCAGCAGCTGGGCGCCCGTACGCTGCTTGGGTGGGGCTGGCGTAGGTTTGGCGTTGGCCTCCTCCTCTTGGGCTTTGCGACGCAATGTGTCCAAGGCGGCCGTGATGGTGGGGTCGCCCTTCTCGCCGACGCCCTGGTACGCAGCCAAACTCGTGATGAGGGAGACCGTGGAGATCGGGTCGGACTGCCCGCCATCGCCCTTCTGCGCCTCCACGGTGTCCCAGCCAGCCTTGGTGCTTGCGTACGTGGAGTGCCGCCATGGTGCCCACTTCTTCCACTGCCGTCCCGAGCGTGGCCAACCCGCAGAATGAGGTCCATTCTGTGCCCAAACTCCAGACGGTGGCGGTGGGACGCCGACGGCGGGGCGGAGCTTCGCCTTGCACTTGAAGCACTCGACTTTGCTGCTCCAGTTCCACTTGTAGCCGCACGCTTTGCACCCAATATACCCCGCTGCTTTGCCATCATCTCCCATGCCGCGGGTCGCTGTGCAACAGGAGTGCTCACCTGCGGGCTGCAGGCGGCACGCAGAGTCCTGGGGCGGACCAGGCTCTGCGAAACAGACAGGGTATGCCGCGGACTAGCGGTATCCAGTTTCGCCGATGCGGGCTCCGCCCGCAGAAGCATTAGCCTTGAGCCAAAATGGCTACGGAGGAGGAGGAGGAGGAGGAGGAGGAGGCGGAGGAGGAGGAGGAAGAGGAGGAGGAGGAGCCCCCGATAGTGAGTCCGCACCTTCCTGGGCAGGTTGGGGCCATGGGGCCCCCTGGCGGCGATCGCTGGGCGATTGGGGGTCGATGCACATCCCCCCCTATGCCTATCCCCGCCCTACGGTGAGGACATTGGAAAAGGATCCACTGGATGAGGAAGCCAGGGTCTGATGGAAGGCCAATGGAGGCTTGGCTATGGATATCACCACCACCCTCTCCAGATAAGGACTACTCCAGGGTCTGATGCCTCCTGGGCACATTCCTTGACGAACGCCCCCACGGTATCGCTGCCCCTGCGCAAGACGACAGATGCGGCACAGGGAGGGACGGCCGGCGCCACTCGCGAGGGCTGCCCCGCACTGCACGGCCAGGCCGGGCCGCCGCCGCCATACCAGAAGGCCCGGATCCCATCCACAGTGGAGGCCAGTCCACGAGAGACCTTCCACAAATAACCCAACCCTGCAACCCCAGGACGTCCATGCATTTTTGGTGTGGGGACGTTGCGCTCTGATCGCGAAACCATCGAAACCCAAGAACCCAGGGCACCCTGGAGGCAAGCAGGGCGTTTCTCGGCATGGGCCCCCACTGTATCGTCCTTGCGCGGAGCCTACTGGAAGCGAGCCTCGAAGGAAGACGCAGCCCGACCGGGTGAGTCCGACTCCGACTACCCTTACGTCGGGGCGTGTCCTCCTACAGGTGGATTTTTGACGAAAGTAATAAATAGTCCAAACTATTCCAGAGTAGTCAAAAAATCAGAAGAATCGTCCTTAGACTATTCTTTTGACTATCTTTGAATGTTCCTCCTGTAGAGGGACAGGCCCGACTTAAGACTACCCGTGCAATGCAAAGGACGGCGGGGCGCGCCGGCGCAGTTTTCCCTGAGCGCGCGCTGTGCAGGAGGCGATGATCTGCCGCTGCTCCACGATGAGCGACCCGCGTCGCTAGCTACCGTTTGAACTCAGCACGCGAGGTGGAAGTGAGCCTCGAAGTCCCAAGAGGAGGAGCCCCCCCCTCTGCCCTGAGAGCCGGCGTCGCGAGAAACTGCAACACAGGGCAACACCACGACTGGAACCCGACGCCCCTCGAGCCCAATCGATCCGCGAGGGCCCAGGGCCCGAACCTGGGCAACAAGCAGCCCGGCGCGACAAACACTGCGACGCCAGGATGTCTCGGGGCTGTCCGCGCCGCCGGGCGACGTCGGAGGCCCTCTGAGGGGGCGTCTCGGGGGCCTTTTGGGTTGCCTGGAAGCCGTCTTGGCCTCTCGTGGTGCCCTCTCGGGCTGTCTCGGGGCCCGCACTGAGCGTCTGAAGGCATCCTCTGGGAGAATCAGCATGCACCTATACCGCTACTCCCCGGACCTCTCCCGCGGTGCGTTCTGTCCAGAGGCGAATCCAGCGGTGGCGACGAGGGCCTCCCCCGCGAGGCCCAACAAGGCGAAACCGATGCCAGGGCAGCGGCATCCGTACACGTTCCCCCCCTGATCCTGGGGAAGGCCCCCTTTGGGACCCTCGTTTTGAGACCCTCTTGAGGCCCTCTTTGAGACCCGCTTTGGGGCCTTCTTTGGGACCCCCTTTGAGACCCCTTTGAGGCCCTTTTCTTCGGACCTTCGCCCCCCTTGGGACCCTCTTGGGGGCCCCCTTTGGGACCCACCCTGAGACCCTCTTGAGGCCCTCCTTGGGGCCCTCTTGAGGCTCTCTTTGAAACATGCGCCCCCTCGAGGCCCTCCCGAGGCCAATGACTCCCTGGAGGGCCGGCTGCCGCGGGGGCCGCCGTGGAACGGCCACGGAGGACCCGGGGCGCGCAGCGCGGCCGCGGACCGCCCCGCGCGCGCCGGGGGTCCTCCTCCTCCTCCTCCTCCCCTCCCTCCTCCTCCTCCTCCTCCTCCTCCCTCCCCTCCTCCTCCTCCTCCTCCTCTCCTCCCTCCTCCTCATTCCTCCTGCACTCCTCTCCTCCTCCTCGTCCTCCGCCGTCCTCCTCCGCCTCCTCCTCTCCTCCTCCTCCTCCTCCCTCTTTCTCCTCCTCTCCTCCTCCTCCTCTCCTCCTTTTTCCTCCTCCTTTCCCTCCTCCTCCTCCTCCTCCCCTCCTCCCTCTTTCTCCTCCTCCCCCTCCTCCTTCTCCTCCTCCTCCTCCTCCTCCTTTCCCTCCTCCTCCTCCTCCTCCTCCTCCTCCTCCTCCTCCTCTTCCTCCTCCCCGAGAGCGGCGGGCGCCCCGGCCTGGTCCGCACCTGCGACTCGAGCTCGGCCACCTGCGCGGGTCTGAGGGGCCGATTTTCCATCAACGCTGCCATAGGGACGGGGGAGACGGGAGGATGGGGAGGTCCTCCTCCTCCTCCTCCTGCCTCCTGCTTTCTCCTCCTCTCCTCCTCCTCCTCCTCCTCCTCCTCCTCCTCCTCCTCCTCCTCCTCCTCCTCCGCCTCCGACTTCTCCTCCTCCTCCTCCTCCTCCTCCTCCTCCTCCTCCTCCTCCTCCTCCTCCTCCCCTCCTCTTCCCTCCTTTACCTGTGGCAGTGGTGGTGGCAAATCGGCCCATCGAGGTCGGGCGCCTCCCGCGCAGTGTCGAGGTCCGAACCCTGCCTCCAGTGACTATCGGTTATCTGGAATCGAGGTGGGGCGGAGGCCCAAACCCCCTCGCGTTGCGTAAAAAACGCGACGGATGTTTGCTTCGCTATTTTCTGCCTCTGGGGGCCCTTACCGGGCCTCGCGACCGTCGAAAAACTACTCGCCAGAACGAAAAGCCGGCCCCGGGGAATGGGTCCGGACCTCCGGGGGTCGCGTAGTGAAAACATCATGGCGTCGGGGGTCTGGGGGCAGGTTGAAGGTCGCTGGGGGGGCAGCGTTGTTTCCAGGGCCAGATCCCCGTACGCTCGCTGGGCGCGCTTGATCGGTCAACAGCAATCCTTACAGCCGCCCTTCGCGAGAAGCTCTGATCTCAGGTTTGCTCTTGCCGACGATTGGGCTACTCAGGCTTGCTCTCGCCCTACAAAAGCATTGCCCTCTCCCCCGTCGCCCCAGAAGCACAGGTCGCGTTCGCTGCCCCTCAGCGAGCTTCAAGGGTCAGGGCTCGGACTTCGCCACCTGCGCGGGCCGGGCGCCCGCACCGAGCAGGCCTTGGGTCGGGCGTGCCCTCCCACGGGTCGGGCGCGTGCCCTCCTGCGGGCGCCCAAAAGGGGCCCCAAAAGGCCCCTTTGGGGCCTTTTTCTGCACCCCCCATTTGGGTCCGAAGGTGGGTCCTCCCCCCCTTCCTCCTGCTGCCTTTTTCTGCACCTCTCCTCCTCCTCCTCCTCCTCGTCCTCATCTCCTTTTCTTCCTCCTCCTCCTCCTCCTCCTCCTCCTCCTCCTCGTCCTCCGCCTCGTCCTCCTCCGCATCCTCCTCCTCCTCCTCCTCCTCCTCCTTCCCCCCCCTCCTCCTCCAATCCCCGCCCTGGTGGGCCTCTGGGCGCCGGGGGGGCCAGGCCTGAGCTGCAGCGAGTCGCCAAGGCGGGCCGGGTCGGACACGGATCCGACCGCCAGCGACTCGTCCCGAGCCGGACCGAAGTCGGATCGCCGCGCCCCGCTGCGGCCGGACCCCGCCGAGGATGCCTGCGAATCGAACCGCATCGAAATGGCCGCCCCTGGCGGCGAGGAGGAGGAGGAGGAGGAGGAGGAGGAGGAGGAGGAGGAGGAGGAGGAGGAGCAGGAGCAGGAGCAGGAGCAGGAGGAGGAGGGCGAGGAGGAGGAGGAGGAGGAGGGCGAGGGCGAGGAGGAGGAGGAGGAGGAGGAGGAGGAGGAGGAGGAGGGCGAGGAGGAGGAGGAGGAGGAGGAGGGCGAATCGAACCGCGTCGAAGGCGGCTCGGATCGGATCGGCGGCGGCCCCGTCTCGGAGCCCCCCCTTTAGCGAGGCATCCTTGCGTGCAAAGCGGCCCGGCACCAGACGCGGCGGGCGCAGGCCCGCGCAGACGTTGCGGCCACGGCACCCTCTCGAGGACCGAAGTGGCACAAAAAGTCTGACCATCGACTTGGCAGAGGGGCTCCATCGACATCCGCGGCGTTCGAAGGGCCAGGTTTTTGCCCGACTCGATGACATACGATTGGGGTGCGTTCGGATAGCCCGCTGGAGGTGTGTCCCTGAGCCTTTCTTGTATAAGCGACCCACACTTCCTGGGGGTGATCGACCCTCGAGGTTCGAGGCTTCTCTGCGACTTCGGCCTTCAAAGCCCATGGAAGGCCCCAGGAACGTCGGACACCGGTCCGGGATCGAATACCTGCCAAGCGATGGACCTCAAGGAGAGGTCGGGGGATTGGTTTTGAGCAGATCTTGTGTCACAGGAACTTTCGACGCAGGCAGGCAGGCAGGAGCCGCGCCCGGACGCAAAAAATAGCATGCGGAAGACATTCCTGAAAGACATGCAAGAACACCTGCGTGCAGACGCAGTGCCTCGGTGGACAAGCGCCGGACCCTTTGTTCCGGAGCGTCGCGAGGGAAAGCCGCATCTGTACTCGAGGGAGGGAGAGGGGGGAGCAGGGAGGGAGGGCGGGAGGGGAGGAGGGGAGAGGGGAGAATCTACCCACAGTATTCTTCTACGACCCTGCGCCACTCACGTGGGGCTCCCTGCAGCAAGGATTGCAATCGATCTGGGTCTCTTCCCGCTGCCTATAGAGCCCTCCAGGAGCTTCCGACGGCCCGCGCGAGATTCTTGAATCTGCGCGGGACGCCCCTCCGGGGCGCGCGGGGCCCGCCATGGGGCAGAGCCCCGGAGGCGCCGCCCGCGGGGTCCGGCGCGGAGCCAAGAGCTCCGCACGGACCGTCGAAAGTTTCTGTTCACAGGCCGGCGGAAGACGTCGGTAGAGGCATGAAGTAGGACTCTCGCCATCGCTCGGACGTCCATTTCCCGTGCATTTTTCGGTTTCGTGCGTGTTTTTTTTGCTCGATGGTCCAGGATCGTCCTCAATGGTTCTCGCCGAGAAAAAATGCACACGTCCGAGCGATACCAGGGAATGCGGATGGAAAGTGGATTGGGCTCAGGCCCTCCCAGGGAGGAACCAAACGCAGCAGAGGCAGATGTGGGTTCCTGAAGTAGGAAGGTGCCTGAAGCAGATTGCGACCTGGGAATCCAAAGGTACATAGCTTCAACGACAAGCGTGTATGTAAGTATTCCGCCCCCAGAAGCACCCCCCGGCCCTGCGCGCCTCGCACAGGCAAGGAGTGAGTCAACCGTTGCGACAGACGCAATGGGGGAGACAGTGGGGGGGGGGTCAGAAACTCAGCTCACGAAGCTTGTTTGCCGCAGCTCACGAAGCTCACGAAATTATACATATATCTAAACTAGAACCACGCGCGCCCTTCGCGCGCGCTTAGGTTCTAGTATGCATCGAGCCTTGGCAAGTTCACTGCTGCATGCATGCACGCATGATGTTCACAGCTGTTCGCAACGCCTTGACAAATTCACAACTGTAATGCTGTATCCTAAATTGTGCGAGCTGTTCAATGCGCTCTCGCCGCCCTTGTTGTCACTGCAATGGCCGCTGTCGCCGCCGTCGCCGTAGCCGTCGTCGTCTTCGTCGTTGTCTTCGTCGTCGTCGTCGTTGTCGACGGCATTAACAATGAAAATCTTTGGAGGATTCCCCAGATTTTACGTGTTTGCATTGTCCCCTCCTCACTTCTCCTCCTCCTCCTCCCCCTCCTCCTCCCCCTCCTCCTCCTCCTCCTCCTCCTCCTCCTCCTCCTCCTCCTCTACTCTTCCCCCTCCTCCTCCTCCAGGAACGCACGGGGCTACGATTCGAGCGGAGTTGCAGGAGGAATGCATTGAACAGCGTGCGTAAATTCGTTAGTTTCTCGCGTCGTGTCGCTCCAATGCTCGTAGCCCGCGTTTCGCGCGCGCTTAGGTTCTAGCACGCCCCAGCCCGTGGCCAGCTCACAGCTGCTCTCACCACAATTGCCTTGAATTTCAGCCCTAGAAAAAGGCCGCGGATCCAACAGCGACGAAGCGACGACACGGGTAATTACACCCGACAAATCTAAAACGAATATATGCAAACATGGATGTCCTTTTGGGGCGCCTTTCGCGGAAGTCGCGAAAACCTCTTGACCTACCCAAGCTATTTCTTGGGCCGTGTTGGGACTCCCCTGGGCCGTCTTGAAGTCTCTTCTGAGCCACCGGGAAGCTCTGGGGAGTTCCTCAAGAGCATGGTGGGTCGTCTTCGTGGGGCTCCTGTGAGGCATCTCTGGATCTTCTGGGGGAGCTCTTCGGTGCATAGTGAACGCCTATTTGGAATCTATTTGTGGCCCCTTCGGGGGGCTTCGGGGCCTCAGTTCTCCTGGGGGCCTCCTTGGCTGTCTCAGAGCGTTCGTGGCCCGACGCCTTCGGATGCCGTTTTGGATGCCTCCGTGGGCAATCTGGGGGCTTTCTGGGGGCGTCTTCGGGTTGTCATCGTAGCTTCTTGGGCTCGTCTTGGGAGCCTCTCGGGCCCTCTTGGGGTGGTTCTGCGCCGCCTTGGGGCCCTCTTGGGGGGTCCCTGGGTCGCCTGAAAAGCAACAGGGAAGGCCACGTCAGCCGCACTGACGCTGTGAAGAGCAGCTTGGCAAGAATGTAAAATTGCACGAAAACAGATCGTTCTTCAACAATTTAGGTCTCTCGGAGGCTTCCTGGAAGGCCTCTCGGAGCTCCATTCGGGCGGTCTTCGGCCGCCTTGGGAACCTCTTGGCCCTTTTGCGATCATCTTGGACCGTCTTGGGAGCGTCTTTGCGGCCTCTGAGCGTCATGTGGGGTTGCCGAAACAGGGTTCCGAAGTCCAGTGAAACCCTTGGACCACTCAAAGGGCCGCCGGCTCTCAGGACTGAACTTTTGACGCCGGGGGAGGGGGGGAGTGGGCCGCCCCCTGGCCCAGGGACCTGGTCGCCGGCTAGAACCACGCGCGCACGCTTCGCACGCGCTTAGGTTCTAGCCGCGCCCGAGGAACGTGCACCGCAAATTGCACCTTTCGTGAAGCTCCCTATGGTGTCTCGATCCTCGTGAGGGATGTGCCGACACGGGCGCCGTCACGCATTGCGGCCTGCGGTGGGCTCCCTATGCGGCCACGATCCTCGTGAGGGGTGTGCCGAAATGGGCGCCGTCACGTGTGCAAACTCTGCCAATGCCGCCTTCGGTGGAGCTCCTCTAGGCCCACGATCCTCCTTGAGGGTGTGCCGAAATGGACGTCGCCACGCATGCGAGCTCTGCCACTGGGGCCTGCGGTGGAGCTCCCATCGGGAACTACGATCCTCGTGAGCGGTGTGCCGAAGTGGACGCCGACACGCGTGCGAACCCTGCCAATGCGACATTCGGTGAAGATCCCTAGGGGCCCACGATCCTCGTGAGGGGTGTGCCGAAATTGACGCCGTCGCGCATGCGAGGCGAGCCCTAACGCTGGGGCCTGCGGTGGAGCTCCCTATGAGGCCACGATCCTCGTGAGGGATGTGCCGACACGGGCGCCGTCACGCATGCGAACCCTTCCACTGTTGCCTGCGGTGGGGCTCCCAATGGAAGCTACGATCCTCGTGAGGGGTGTGCTGGCGCCGTCACACATGCGCACCCATGCCACTGAGGCCTTCTGTGGAGCCAACTATGGGGCCACGATCCTCGTGGTGTGTGTGTGTGCGTGTGTGTGTGTGTGTGTGTGCCGAAGTGGGCGCCGTCACGCATGCGAATCCTGTCACCAAGGCCTACTTTGGAGCTCCCTAACTATGGGGCCATGATGCTCGTGAGGGTGTGCCGACTTTGGCGCCGTCACGCATGCGAGCCCTGCCGCTGCGGCCATTGGTGGAGCTACCTCTGAAGGCTACGATCCTCGTGAAAGGTGTGCCGAAATCGGCGCCGTCACAACTGTGAATCCAGCCAATCGGGCTTTCGGTGGAGCTCCTTGTGGGGCCACAATCCTCGTGAGGGGTGTGCCGACATGATTGCCGTCAAGCATGCGAACTGCGAGCCCCCCTACCACTGAGACCTTCTGTGGAACTTTCTGTTGCCACGGGGCGTGTACGGTGGGTGATGCTGATGATGATGCTGATGATGATGATGCTGATGATGATGGTGATGATGATGATGCTGATGATGATGATGCTGATGATGCTGATGATGATGCTGATGCTGATGATGATGATGCACGAAAAAGAGGGTGAGGAGAAGAAGGACGAAGAGGAAGGAGGAACGCGGGGCACTGCCCTTTGCAAACGAGGACCCAACAACACAAGGTTTTGGGAAACAATAGTGTCGTTTAGTTGCTGCAGTCCACGGACAGGCGCTCCAGTGAGGGTAGGTGATGATGACGAGAGAGCGGAATGTGATGAGGGTAAGGACGAGGACGAGGATGTTCCCGACCCTCCTTGGTTGGGTATTCGTTTTGAATAGGGCAATGTGGTCTCCACTTCCTCCGTCCCGTCCCGTCTCCCTCTTGCCTCCTCCTGTCTTGCCTGCGGGGGGCTGCGATCTGTGAAACTGTCGCCACTTTCGAGGCCTGCGGGGGGGCCCAGCACAGTGACGCCACGCGCGGACCCAAATTAGACCTCGCCATCCCGGGGGGCTGCGATCTGTGAAACTGTCGCCACTTTCGAGGCCTGCTGGGGGGCCCAGCACAGTGACGCCACGGCAGACCCAAATTAGACCTCGCCATCCCTGGGGGGCTGTGATCTGTGAAACTGTCGCCACTTTCGAGGCCTGCTGGGGGGCCCAGCACAGTGACGCCACGGGCGGACCCAAATTAGACCTCGCCATCCCTGGGGGGCTGCGATCTGTGAAACTGTCGCCACTTTCGAGGCCTGCTGGGGGGGCCAGCACAGTGACGCCACGGGCAGACCCAAATTAGACCTCGCCATCCCTGGGGGGGCTGCGATCTGTGAAACTGTCGCCACTTCCGAAGCCTGCTGGGGGGTCCATCACAGTGACGCCACGGGCAAACCCAAATTAGACCTCGCCATCCCTGGGGGGGGGGGGGGGGCTGCGATCTGCGAAACTCTCGCCACTTTCGAGGCCTGCTGGGCGGCCCAGCACAATGACGCCACGCGCGGACCCAAATTAGACTTCGCTATCCCTGGGGGGCTGCGATCTGTGAAACTGTCTCCACTTTCGAGGCCTGCTGGGGGGGCCAACACAGTGACGCCACGGGCAGACCCAAATTCGACCTCGCCATCCCTGGGGGGCTGCGATCTGCGAAACCGTCGCCACTTTCGAGTCCTGCTGGGGGGCC